CTGACAATGTTCTTGAGATCTCTTGACCTTCCATACAAAATCCACTATAGTTGATCAGTTATTTCTTGGAAGATATAGCCCTTTTAAAGAAGGAGAAGGTATTTCAGAAAAATGTTTGATATTAGTACTTTAAGTGAAACTTTTGTTTTGTTGTTCAAATCTTTTTTGTCTCTTCTAGTACAATGTTGACTGCTCGTGCTCAACATTTGTCTTGTTTATAACCTTCAAACCTCTCTTGTGATACATAAATTCTGACATCGTATTGGTAAAGCTCAATGAATCAACACATAAGAACATATAGAATATTGTGTTCTCATCCTCTTCTTTTCACTGCTTTATAACTCCAATCTCATTGTAGAATTCTTTTTTTCTCCCTAGAGAGTTAAGGTAACTCAATAACTTTTTTGTTATCTCTTCACTCGACGTACCATGTCCTCTCCCTAGCCTCAACCAAACTCTCTCTTTTGGAGGTAAGTAATGTAGATTCGTCAATATCTCTGAGTTCTTCTCACTTTCAAAACAAACTCAGTTACAACAGACCGATTATTCTTTGGCAGATTGAAATGAAGTAAGAGAGGAGTGGATTGACAACCTCGTATGATAACAATTTTTTCTTACTCAAAGCGTTCAGTAACTTCAAGAGACACCCTAACTTTCCCTTACTCGAACCTGACCTCCATCGTCCGATTTCCATTGCTGAAACCTATGTAGCACAATGTTCGCTTTCGGTGGCGAACGTGAACATGTTCGCCCGAACGCGAACAAGCGCCCAAAACCCTCCGAACATGAACATAAAAAATATTTAAAAAAAAAAACAATTCTTAGAAAAATCTGAAAAAACTATATGTTATGTAAAATAATATTACAAGCAACTTTTGCCTTGGAGTCATGTTCAAATTTGTAACCAATCATGAGTAAAAAAACAAAAACCGAAAAAATATATATATATATTTTTTTTTACGAAAAAAAAAAAATGTTCGCGCGAACAAGTTCGCCAGCTATTCGCGCAAACGTGCGAACACACTCGCGTGAACATGAAGGGGCGCGAACACGTTCTCCATGCTAGGCAGGCTGAAACTTCTTCTATTTTCATGATAGTCCATTCATTTCTCCCACTTCAATACCATGTTGATAATCGGTAGCCACTTACATCCATCAAAAAAAATATCGGGGATAGGAGGAATATGAATTATCTCATGAGCCACTTACATTAAACCCCATTCCACTGTCTTCTTTTCTCTAGTTAATTATGCCTTTTTGTGATAGATAGATTGAATGGCTATTTCCCACAACCAATTAAAGACCTCACCATCATTAGTTTAACATAACGACAAATATTATAGATAACATGTTATTCGTTAAAATAAAACATTATATTGTGTGTTTTTTCTAATGAATTCATTTTTTGTTGCATCCTAAGCAACGTACGCATGCCCATCCTCTCCCCCAAGATAATTTATTGGATGTTTAATCAGATCCGGACTTATTTGGAAGTGCAACGATAGGCATACCTGCCCACTTGTCCGAAATGAGGAAGTGTATTGAGAGTCATACTTGGTAAACTTTATAAATGTGATGAGCAAGGTGTCATGATTAAATCCTTGTTGGATTATATATTTTTTTAGGTTATCCCTAAGTCGTGCATGCATGACCATTCTTTCGCCTGAGACAGTTGTTTGGATGTTTCATGAGATTCAGACTTCTTTATAAGACTTAGTGTAATGATAAGCACACCCATCCACTCGCCCGATATGCGAAAGTGTGTTGAGATTCATACTTGTTGAACTTTACAAATAGGATGTGCAGGGAGTAATGATTGAAACCGTGTTGGATAATATATTTCTTTAAGTTATCCCTTAAGTTTTATATGCATGTCTATCCTCTCGCTCGAGACGGTTGTTTCGATATTTAATGAGATCTGGAGGTCTTTAGAAAACTTAGTGTAATGATAGGCACGCTCATCCACTCACCCGATATGCGAAAGTGTGTCGAGATCCATACTTGTTTACAATTGTGATGAGAAATGTGTCGTGATTGTATCCTTGTTGGAGATGTTTGCTTTAGTTATTCCTAAGTAGCACAGACATGCCCATCCTCTCTCCCGATACGGTTGTGTGGATGTTTGATGAGATCCATACTTTTTTAGAGTTGTAATGGTAGACAACCACATTCTCTCGCCTGAGACCATTATTTGGATGTGTGTCGAAATCCATACAATGTTATATTTATAATTGTATACTTGTTGGATTTATTGTAATGTACTGTAACAGTTAGAGTGATAGCTGAAGCACAACTCAAATATGCTAACCGTTTATCTTGTAACAACCAGATAATTTCGACACACATGATCCTTTTCTGCGACAACACTTGTCATATTACACAACAACTTAAAATTTTGCATATTTTCAATCGAATCCGCACTTTAATAGGTCATTCACAAAAGTTTTTATTACGAACGTGAAGTTGTTGATCACATGTAATGCAGACAATCACAAAGCATTTGATTGTATGAACAAGCAAAAGACATGACGTTAGACGTCGTTAGTGATTTTTGCACAATGAACCTCACACTCACTGACTCGCCGAGATTTGTTATGCATTCACACACCAATTTGTCGTGGCGCAAAACAATTTAGTGATTTTTGCACAATGAACCTGACACTCACTAACTCACCGAGATTTGTAATGCAACCACACACCAATTTGTCGTGGCGCAAAACAAGTTTAGATATTATATGATGTCAATCATATGTTCACGTTAGGTTGTCCAGCGAAAAATTTAAAACAGGGAAGTCAATGCAAACTTGTTCCGTCGCATGAGAAACGACAGGTTTGTGACAAAGATTACAAAGTCTACACATGACGTTAGACTGACAATGTGCATGCCAAAGACAACTCAAACTCGTAACAACAAAAGAAAGCAATGTCGTTGTCAAAACGACAGTTGAAGAATGCCATGTATTACAAAATATAGTTATAAATGAATGTAATACTTTCAGAAGAAAGTTTGGAAGTCGTTAAAATTCATCAAAGACAACGACATTATAAGATACATGTTGCCAATTATTATCTAATAAGCAAGCTATCCTTACAAAAGAATCTGAAAGTTGGTCGCTCACCATGTTGCAACGTCGCAAATGCCAACACAAACACAGCATAACTAGCTTCATCCACTTGTCTTGGAGCTCCTTCCACCACAACATTTACCACCAACTTTCAACTCCTATTCGATGGGCTATGTAATGTTTGATATTCCAAATATTGTACAATCAACTCAAAAACACTAAGGTAAGAACTCGAATCAGTTACAACGCGAGGAAAAAAATCAAAAATTTTAAAGATATTGTGTTTCAAGTTGACGGAAAAGAGGATTTAGTGATCATTATCTTTGTGGACAGGAACGAAGATAATATCGTATTGAAGCAAATCTATGTTTTTGGCGCACCTTTCCACCTCATCGTGTCCTTGAAGTTGCAGCTTAGTGAAAAAGAACGAATTAAAGCTGAAGACTTGAAGCTCCGACGACATGTCACATGTTGCACATGCGATCGACCCAAAAAAAGTCATGTAAAAATTGACCATCGTCGATATGCAAAAGGGTGAGGAGATCTTTTGCCACAATTCTCAACGGATCATCAGCAAGAGTAGAGAGAACAATGTGAGGTGGCACGGAGCCTCGTATAATATCATCCAGAACCTGCAAGCTTTGAGGCGCAGTCGCTATAGCGAATCTTCCCTGCGTGATCCACCTGTTGTGGCGCGCACTGCACAACATCGAGCAAAGCATACGCGGGGTAGTGAGAACGTAAGTTCTAAGGATTGTCCTTCATTGCACGACGCATAGCTAAGTATTTTTCATACATGGCCTAACCTTTAGTCACAGATCGTGGATATGTCCCCTTCTCTGAGGGAAGAAGAAAGAAACACTCGTCAATGGTTATGGCATAATCCTTCTTCTCGATCTTGACATCAACCCCTGATACCCTTATTATATCCTTGTTTTTTATCGTGAACCCGAGGATTTTCTGCAATATGTGTGCCGAATATTTCGAGGACCCCTTTTTCGAGTTGCCCCCACCCATGTAAAATAGAAGAAAGACAAAACGAAATATATATTTCCCAACACGGGTCCCACGGAAGTGGCAATGTAAAAGAACGGCATAACCTATAAGACGCAATACCTTTCCAATTATTGAACTTCGATTTTGCATGGCCAAGAGCACAGAGGAGTGTGTGTGCGGCTGGACAACAAAAGGATGAGCGCATTCGAGCTTGACCCCCCCGCTCTTGACAAAGGAAAACCACAACAAGCCACAAAAGCGGAGGGCCAACACTCGTCGCATCGACACAGGAAATGTGGATACCGGTGGACTAAAACCATCAATCCTTTTGAGAAGAAAAAAACACCCTTCCATAGAGGCGGCTAGGTTCTTAGCTGGGGCGGTGTTTGTGAGGGGATGGTACAATAAAAACACACTTCATAGAAGGATTGATCCTTTCGTTGACAGTGTTATGTTTTAATTGAAGTTTTCCCATGCCTTGATCGGCAACCTGGCCGACTCACAGAAAGGATGATCACATGCAGTTGGAAGGACTGGTGACTCTTTATGCCGACATCCATAATTCTTGAATAGATGGACATTGTGGTCACTCCTGGTGTATATGACGCATATTCAAATCCGTCGAAATCCGGACTACGAAAGAAGCCACACTTTTGTTTTCTGAAGCGTGGGCGAGCAGACATAATGACGTTCTTCACCGCTTACCATCCGATTTGTCTCTCCACTCCTTCGTGGGTGAATTTGGCGCAAGCAAGGCCAGCACCGCGACAACCGGAGAGCCGACCCTGGAGTTTTTCGGGAATGTGACATAATACCGGCCCCCAACTTCGCCTTCCTCTCCGTTGGTGAGGGTGGCAGCTAGTATCGGAGAGCTTGGCGGTGAGAAAGAAAGGACAACAGCCACGAAAGGTTGAACGTTGCGAGGGTCATCAACGTTAGGTGTTGTAGACGGATGTGCGGAGACTTGCTCGTCGTCGAGGATGCCATTGATAACTTCGTCGATGATTATACTGCGGCTAGGTTTAGCCAGGCTCACAGCAACGGAAACCTTGTCGTACCCGTGTTGGAGATCATCTGCAGACGTCAGTGGTTGAACCTCATAGTCTTCACGTTTTGTGGAAAGGTCACTGACCACCTGCGTCTCCATCCCTATTGTCGTTACATTGTCGTCGCCGTCATGGCCACGATGCTCTCCATATAGTTGCCCGAACTCGTCAAATGACTCTTTAGATCCGGTATCGTGCTCATTGTCCTCCCTTCCTCGTCTTGAATATCCACATCCCCTTTGCCACCCTCTTCTTCTTCAAGCAATTGAATCAACTATTGGTTTCCCCCCTCCTCCCCTTCCTCCCCTTCCTCCCATTCCCCCCCTTCCTCCCCTTCTTCCTAATCCTCACCTTCCTCCCCTTCCTCCCCTTCGCCCCCTTCCTCCGCTCCGTCCTTTCCTCCCCTCCGTCCCTTCCTCCCCTCCGTTCCTTCCTCTCCTCCATCCCTTGCATGCAATTCAGCCCCTTCTCCTGAACCCTTGTCGATTCCCATCGATCGCCCTTCTGTCTCAACGAGCGTAGCCCCTCCCACCGGCACGACAACCTCCTCCCCGGGCCTCCCGCTCAAAGAAGTTCGGATCCCGAGGGACTTAGCCGTCTTTAGGTCAGCGGGCGCTTCAGTTGCACCCTCTCGCTTCAACTTTGGAGTTTGGCCCTCCCCCTCAGTCGACGCATATCGATCCCGCACAACACCATTGTCAGTCGGTGCACCTCGACATGACATCCTGGCTCGGCACTCCCACCCGCGACCCGCTCTGCACGGACGACTCCTGTTGCAGCGACTCAAGCCATGAAGTTCGGATCACGACGAACTTGGACTCTCCGCCTAAGCACCTACCAAGAGCAACCAAGGCGACCATCCTCTTCCTCTCGGACGAAGTCGGGAGGTCGGTGGACTTCATCGCATGTTCTGCACTGAGGCTCGTAGGCGGATGCCGATCGACGGTCAACCCCTCCACCCCACCGGTGCCTTCCGCTGCCATGGTCTCGTCATGAGGGCTTCCCTCTCCACTAAGCAGGACACCTTTGCCACCCCCCACACCGTTGCCTTCGTTCCCTCCAGTGTCAGCCCCCACCCCTCCCCAACTTCCCAGTGTCCCACTCAGAGGGGACACTTTCCGATCCACCATTCCTTTCGAAGGGCTAGTGCCGATGTCGTAAAGTCCTCCGTCAGCTCCAATCAGTGCTTGTCGTGAAGTTCGTTGAGCAGGCAGTCAACATTGGAAATGATGGGCGTGTTGGAGGGTGAAACTGTAAGATTTTTTACCTTAACTTTATGGATGACCTATGTGACCCCCACGACCGTGGATCCCATGCTGAGGAGGTCGGTCGAGGCTGCGCGGCCGCACCAAGCGTAGGCGGAGCTGCACGCCCAAAATTTGGGGCGGCGCATGGTGTACCCAACCACAATGAACTAAAAAAAAAAAAAGTTGGGTTGCACGGTATACGTGTACGCGGGTTGCGCGTACACACGTACACGTATTCCTGTTTCTGACACGTACACGCATACACGTACTCCTTTGCGTGGGAATACGTAAAAAAAAAAAAAAAAAAAAAAAAAATCATCGAAAAAATATGAAAAAAAGTATGTTATGCAAACTGATATTTCAAACAACGTTTGCCTGAGACTCATCACAAAATTATTTACCAAACTCGAGTGAAAAATCAAGGACACAAAAAACAAATAAATTGAAATAAAAAGTAAAAAAAACTAGGGGAAAAACAGAAAAAATAAAAACAAACTTCAGTAACAAATATATGTTATGCAGAAAGATGATACAAATAACTTTTACCTGGGAGTCATCCCCGAATTCCCAATCAAATTCGAGTAAGAAATCAAAAGAAAAAAAAGGTAATATTATCATAATAATTTTAAAACTATTTTTAAATAGTTTTTTATTTTTATTTTATTTTTTATTATTATTATATATATATATATATATTTTTTAATCCATTTTAAAATTTTCTTTAAGGTTTTTTATTTTTAAATCAAGATTGGTTGGGAATTCAGGTATGACTCCCTGACAAAAGTAGTTTGTATCATTATTCTACAGAACATACTTTTTTTTCAGAGTTTTTGAATTTCTGATTTTTTTTTTTTTTTACGTACGCGTATGCACGATTTTGGGTTCGTACGCGTACGATGGAATATGTACGCGTATGCACTACGTACGTGTATGGCATGCTACCCAGAAAAAAAGTAAAATTTGGGGGGGAGGGGGGGGTCGTTTTCATGTGGGGGGAAAAAAAATAAAAAAATTGAAACGGGATGCTGGGGTGGCCAAACATGCCCCTTGCTTATGAAAATCAAACTACGAGAGGGAAAAAACTTGGGGTCATCCCATACCCCAACACTGTGAATACATGTGTGGGTGTGTGGGTGTGCATGTCCTAGTTGTGTCCAGTCTCATTTCCAAAGGGCCCTTACAAATGAGTAAGGATACCTCGTGGAGCAGAGATAGACTTCCAATTTGTCTACGTGGGCCGATAATATATAGTCTGAATTTGAATTCATGTCTGTGCATAACAGTTATGGGTCATTGTTTCTTTATTGTCTCATTTTTCTTTTGTTTTCTCGTTTTTCTTTTGTTTTCTCATTTTCTTTTTGTTTTCTCGTTTTTCTTTTCTTAGGAATACGTGCAGTGGGCCTAAGGTTTTTTACTCACCACATGCACAAAGTACAAAATATATGGTGGCGTATTATTCCACGTTCTAGCAGAAGATTCATTCTAATTCTGCACAGTGGCCCTCAGGGCCTCTATTCACCACATGCACAAAGTACAAAACATAAAGCGGCGTATTATTTCACGTTCTAGCGGAAGATTCATTCAAAATCTGCACATTTGGTGAGTACAATAGCCAAGCCCAAAGAATCACGTGTCAAAGACCAATAGGGCCTAGCTAAGTGAGCAAGCCATAACTGCTGAAACACAAACCTGAATACGAATCATGAATCTATATTTCGCCAGCTCGTGCTCAACTTCGTATTCACTGTCTGTCTCAATTTTGGTGGGGGGTCCTTGCTGAATTGTTGCGAGGACCACAGTCGCCGAATTGCCCGAAGAAGAAGAATAAGGAGGAGAAGAAGAAGGAGAAAAAGAAGAACATAAAGGGGAAAAAAAATAGCAAGGAAGAAGAAGAAAAAAAATAAGAAGAAAAAAAAACAGCAAAGAAGAAGAAAAAAAAAAAACCGACGATGAAGAAACAGAAGAAGGGAAAAAAAAAACATCAAAGAAGAAAAAGAAGAAGACAAAGCAGAAAAAAAAAATTACCTGTGCCAAATTTTTAGGAGGGGGCTAACTCCATATTAGTCATGAAACAAATGGAAAGAAAAAAATTCTGCTTTTTTTTTATTTTTTTTTATTTTTTTATTTTTTAATCATTTATGAGGTTTTTTTTTTTAATTCGTAAATAAAGTGAAAAAAAAAAGCAAATTATCGGGTTGTAGGGTTTTACAAACCGTACAACCCCATATTTTTATTTTTATTTTCACGTATGTTTTGACCCCCCAAAAAATATCCAAAAAAACGGGTCGCAAAATAGGCCTCCTGGCCGTGGCCGCGACCAACTTTTTCGGTCGCGGTGGCTAGATTGTCCGAAGCCGTGCCCGCAGGTGTCACGTAATGGATGAAGAAACATCAAAGAAGAAAAAGAAGAAGACAAAGCAGAAAAAAGAAATTTACCTGTGCGAATTTTTTAGGAGGGGGCTAACTCCATATATCAGTCATGAAACAAATGGAAAGAAAAAAATTTTGCTTTTCTTTTATTTTTTTATTTTTTTAATTTTTTTTAATTTTTAATCATTTTTGAGTTTTTATTTTTTTTTTAATTTGTAAATAAAGTAAAAAAAAAAGCAAATTATAGGGTTGTAGGGTTTTACAAACCGTACAACCCCATATTTTTATTTTTATTTTCACGTATGTTTTGACCCCCCAAAAAATATCCAAAAAAACGGGCCGCAAACTAGGCCTCCTGGCCGTGGCCGCGACCAACTTTTTCGGTCGCCGTGGCCAGATTGTCCGAAGCCGTGCCCGCAGGTATCACGTAATGGATGACCGAAACCCTCGCGACGAGCAGAAAGTTGGACTTGTACTCCCACGGGATTGACACCCATCCAGCATCACCGCCGACTACGACCATGATCTAATCGTCCTTTTGGATAGCCGCTTGGATGACTCCTCAGTGCCAAATCATGTCATGGCCCTAATCCACCTTATTTGAATGAGTGTGTGACTCGCCCATGAAGTGAATGTTGTCATCCTTCCAAGAAGGATGATCAGGCGAAACTTTACAACCGGGACGTAATGCGAGCGGGGGGACGATCAGAGCTTTCAGTCTCTCCAACAACTTCATCGGGGTCGTGCCTGCAGTCAGCTTGGTCAGAGGCGACATGAGCAATGTCGGGCTTGTTGATGGACCAGTCGACGACGATCCTGGGTGGCTAGGCCATGCCCCGCCTGAAGGGGCCCATACCCCAAGTCGTTGCTCTCGTTGTCGCTCTCCTCCTCCTTCGCGCTGGCGTCGAACTCGGCACCGGTGGCTACCTCGTCGTCCGAGGAGATTAAGGAAGCAATCGCCGAACTTCAATTCCTCCTTGGACTTGACGATGTACAGCGATGTGAGCCTGTCGAGGAAGGTTTTTGCGTTCATGTGGGAGGCGCCGTGGACGTTGTCCAGCAACGCCAACATGCGGTCCTTGTGGCGCTCGTACTCAACATCACTGTCCATTGACGACCGTGTTTCCAGGAACAAGAACTCGTATATCTTCTTTTTCTTCCTCTCACTCGACTTGAACCACATGTTCGTCTTATTGCTCCACACGTGATTCCCTTTCGTCTTTTTGACCACGAACTCGTAGTTGTTGGCACCTGAGTTGACCTTGCTTTTGACGAATTGCAACATGAATTGCAAGAGCTCGGAGTTCCCTTCGAACGCGCATCGGTCCCACAGGGGGACCCTCCCGGCCGTGTCACCCAGGATTTGTGGCAGGACTTTATCCTTTAGCGCGATGCAATGGAACTTCCGTCGCCGCTCCGTCCGAGTGCGCCAGCCATACCTCTCACGAACCCCTACGACAGGATAGGGCCACACAAGGTACAACTTACCTCCACGTGCGAGGCTGGTCACCTCCCTTAGGTGGGCGTATCCCCGCCGAGCTACTGAACCACATGCGAAAGCTAATCAGTTGCAATCACAAAGGTGACCCAACCGAGGGTGTTTCTCATACGTTGTAGC